AGAATTATAGACTTGAGGACAATTGTTAATAGATTTTTGTTTTGACCCCCGAGATAAATTCTATTCAAGGGTGATACAACTTTCATCAGGTCCAAACAACTATAAACTGACCTCAAAAGTATTTATATCCCAAACAAAAGTGTATACATTTCATTTCTTTTAAGATTTAATTTACCATTGTTTTTTCAAAAATTAAACTTTATAAAGCAATGGGAGTTTATTGCAGTTTATTGAATATTAAATTTAACTCATAAAATAACAGCACTTTATTGTTTTAGCTTTAAAATGGTGAACACTTGAATTAACTGATAGTAGAAATCAAAATGATCACTAGTTACTGTATTTTAGATCTATCACAGTCATTTTTCATTAAAATTAAGGATTTTAGCTCACCTGTCACAAAGTGACAGGGTGAGCTTTTGTGATCGCTTTTCGTACGACGTCCGTCCGTCTGTCCGTCCGTCGTCCGTCCGTAAACTTTTATTTTAAAAGACATCTCCTCATAAACCACTAAACCAATTTCATCCAAACTTCACAGGAATGTTCCTTTGGTGGTCACCTTTAAAAATTGTTCAAAGAATTTAATTCCATGCAGAACTCTGGTTGCCATGGCAACCGAAAGAAAAAACTTTAATCATTGCAAGTATTGATTATTCAAATTGTCCTATTAAAACCATCATATATACGCCAACTAACAAAGCCAAAATTTCTTTGATGGACTGTCCAAGTTTAGTGTCTTCTAGAAGTTCAGGAATGACAGAAACTGTGGCAATGTAGATGAAGCCTCCGGCAGTAAATGGTAATATCCACGTAGTCGCTGCCTCGCCAACACCCTCCGCAAACAGACTTGAGATTGTACCCAGCATAGCTCCTATAGCTGTACTAAACTGTTACATCATAGCCTACAAAAAGACAATTTTTTTATGTAAATAAACACAAGCTACTGTGAGCAAGCATTCTATTTTTACGTGACTAACTAAATACTAAATACTAAATGAAATACAAAAAATCCCTTAATACATAACTGTACACAAAAGTTTATATACAAATAACATGTACTTTGTACTTGGTATGTGTACTTGGTAAGTTATTGATACTGAACAAGTGAATAAAGTTTCAATACTATATCATAACTGGTTTATTGGACCATATTTTATAAACCATCTGACAAAACATTTTACCTTTAAAAATGGGCATAGGTATGTCAAATTGTGCGCCACTCATACGAAACTTGGTCATTGATCTTAGATGTCAACACTTAATATGTGTTTTAAGTTTCAAAGGAATCGCTACAATAGTGTTTGAGAAACCATTTTTCATGAAAATTCTAAACCATAAATTCAAAAAAATGGATACCCAATGCAATGCAAGCAAAGTATTTTCTTTTCTTAATCAATTTAAAAGGCTTATATAAGAATAACATTCTGTTCTTGCATATGAGCCCTCATATTTTGTTTTTTAAATAAGTCTCCAGGAAACTTAGGCTTCCCTATAGTTTAAATGTCCACGTCTGAATCTTTGTCATATTCTACAATATTTTCCTTGGAAATTATGAGGCAAGCACGTGGGACAATAACAAAATGCATAAGTCAAAAGTCAAAAGTCATAAATCAAAAGTCATAAGAAAATAGTAAAATAAATCTATAAGTCGAAACTCAAAAGTGACCCTTCAAGGCTTCCATAATAAACTATAATAGTTTCCCTTTAAAACACTGTAACGAGACTCGTATAAAAGTTTAAATTCCGTTGTGTATATGACTGAGTTATGTTTTATTTTGCAGGTAACAACAGGACCCAATAACACCTGTGTGAATGACTTCACGGGGACCTCATCAGCTTGCCCTCTAGCTTCCGGAATATTTGCATTAACACTACAAGCAAAGTATGATAAAATACATAATTATGCATCCGATTCATTTTCATCTTTGATAACTACCACTCTATAAAAGTGTCATGCAATACGGTCAAGTATTGTCTAGCAAGTAAAGCACCATGTACTAAATGTTTCCTCATCCATCCCTCAAAATTAATAAGTCATTTATTGTTTTCAGTCCAGCACTGACCTGGAGAGACATGCAGCATATGTTGGTTGAATATTCTATATCTTCAGGTCTACATGCTGACGCAAATTTCTACACGAATGCTGCTGGTAAAACAGGTATATTATAGAAACATGATGTACCGTAGAGATTCATGTTGTAATTATTCAAATATTATTCAATATTCAAATATTTCAAATCTATTCCAACATAATTTAGTCTAGTAAATGGGCTTTGATCGATCAGTGTTAAAAGATGTTATTTCAAAAACTAAATTGATTAGTGATAAGCAAAATTTAAATAAGTGGTAAAGAGCAGAACAGGCGCTCCATCACTTAAATTTTGTAAATGCTTACTAATAAACACTAACCTATACTTGAAGTAAGTCATTGGTTCGGATTCGGGTTAATGGACGCTGAGGCGATGGTGGACAACGCGCCATCTTGGAAAAATGTACCTTCTAGTACAATCTGCTCATCAACGCAAATTGACGTGGATAGGTAACTGATCTTATTATCGTATTATACAAAATATTAGCTTTAATCGGAAAATAATTGTTATAATATGAATATATTAAATGTCATATAATACCTGTAATGTCAAAATGTATATGGCCAATTTATTTCTAATGCTTTTCAACTAATTTAGTTTTGTTATTGGAAAATTTATATTTCATTTGAAGAGTTGAAATTTTTTTTTCAAGCCGTAAGAAATCATGACTTTAGATTAACAAAATCACCTGGGAAAATGTAGCACATGCAATACGTGTAGTATTATTCCGAAAGTAAAGAAATTGACGCTATTGTGCTGTTGTTTTTCTTTCTGCTTTATTTAAAACTTATATAGGAGCTAGAGATACTAATGATAATCAATCAATATGCTACTAATATATTTTTAAGAAATTCAGTGACGTCATCGATGGCGAGCACGTACTCTGCCAGCCAGTGTTTCATAAGCTATCTAGAGCACGTGATTGTTACCATAAGATACCGTGCCTCGAGACGAGGAAATGTTGAATTCTATCTCGACTCGCCGTCGGGTACTCGAAGTAAAATATTCAGATCGATAACTAACGATTCGTCGTCGTCGTCAATAACCTGGGATTTTATGTCCGTTCATACATGGGGCGAAAACCCGGAAGGTAACTGGACATTAACTATGTCTGATGCAAACGTTGGAACAAGTATGTTTATCTTATTGATAGATGCGTTTACATATTTTTTTCTAAAATCACATATAAAAAACAACAACAAACCACCAGAAATATGATAAGAAAAACAGCTTCATTATGAGATATGAAAGTTTTATAATATTATATAGATCTATGTTAATTTATCATGAAAATGATGATATAAAGTAGATTTGTGTATACATAAATCAGATGCCATTAGTATAAATACAAGAAAACATTTTGTAGTAACAAACATTTGCTGGTAACGTGGGCACATAAAACAATATTTTGCCAAGAACGGGTCTACCTTGCGTTAAACTATGAAATAAAACAATTATTTTTGGCACGTTTGTATACTATTTGACTTGACTTTAAGATGAATTCTAATATATTAAAATCTATACCTAGGTATGAATCTTTATTACTGGAGTATACAGTTTTATGGCACTGTCACAGATCCATTAGCTGGAATTCCTGCTGGTATTATATACATTTCTCTATAAATTATGTATTGCATGTATTATAATTTTTGCTTTTACTAGTTTTGGATTATTTCAATGTCTGCTGGTAATTTATTTCAATTTCGGCAGGTAAATTATTTCAATTTCTGCTGATACATTATTGCAATTTCTGCTGGTAAATTATTGCAATTTCTGCTGGTAAATTATTTCAATTTCTGCTGGTAAATTATTTCAATTTCTGCTGATAAATTATTGCAATTTCTGCTGGTAAATTATTGCAATTTCTGCTGGTAAATTATTTCAATTTCTGCTGATAAATTATTGCAATTTCTGCTGGTAAATTATTTCAATTTCTGCTGATAAATTATTTCAATTTCTGCTGGTAAATTATTGCAATTTCTGCTGGTAAATTATTGCAATTTCTGCTGGTAAATTGTTTCAATTTCTGCTGATAAATTATTGCAATTTCTGCTGGTAAATTGTTTGCAATTTCTGCTGGTATATTGTTGCAATTTCTGCTGGTAAATAATTGCAATTTCTGCTGGTAAATTATTGCAATTTCTGCTGGTAAATTATTGCAATTTCTGCTGGTAAATTATTGCAATTTCTGCTGGTAAATTATTGCAATTTCTGCTGGTAAATTATTGCAATTTCTGCTGGTAAATTATTGCAATTTCTGCTGGTAAATTATTTCAATTTCTTATGGTAAAATATTTCAATTTCTGCTGGTAAATTATTGCAATTTCTGCTGGTAAATTATTCAAAATATGCTGTTATTTTTTTCACTTTCTGCAGGTAAATCATTTCAATTTCTGTTGGTATAATTATGCTCTCATTTTTTTGTTGGTAAACTTTTTCAATTTCTTTTGGTGAATAATTTCATGTTTTTTAGGTAAATTATTTCAGTTTCTGTTGTTAATTATTTCAATTTCTGTTGGTATAATATTGAATACTTAAATGGCTGATTTTAAAGGGACTCCACTGAGGTTTAAAAGCCTAAAAACATAACATTTGAATTTCTTACATAAATGAGCTTGGGCACTTTAAACAGAAATATATGCATAGATAGTTAAGAAATATACTATGAAATAAATTGAAAATCGTATTTTAATGATTTTCTTAGCCCGATTTGAGTGATAAGCGTTTAAACGCTTTTCATTTTGGGTCATTTTTTTACAATTTGAATAATTATTCTGGAAAACGAAGTGCGCGAATGATCTGAAATTTTGCACAAAGATAAGTGGTCTAAACCTACATCAAATGGTACATTTATCTGGAAAAAATATTTTCAGTCCCATCATGTCAAAATACCCCTTTAAAAAGTCTTTTTAGCATGATACAAGATTCTGCTTTTTTACAGCTGGTGAATTTGGTGGTTTGTGCATAGATTCCGCGGAATGTAGTGCTCTCACAGATGGTGGTTGTTTACAGGACGGTAAAATCTGTGTCGTCTGCAACGACGGATATCGCGTGATTGACATATATTGTAAACAGGGTAATTTATTATTATATCAATGAGGATCCCTTATTTAGTAAAAAATATCAGTTTTGCAATTCTTTTCATTTTTTTTTGTTCATTTAAAAAATATAAACATACATACATACACGCACTCGCATACATACACGCGCGCGCACACACACGCACGCACGCACGCACACACACACACACACATACATACATACATACATACATACATACATACAAATCTTCAGATGTAGAGAAAAAGTAGTGTAGCTTATTGAGCAAAGTCAATAATCGTCAATATTCGAATTTTATGAACTTCAAAACAAAAACGTGTTTTATATAAATATTTACAAGATAATATATAATAGTTATATAAAGAACGCTATAGTTTATCTTTCAAACTTCAAATTTCATTTTTATTATAATTTTACAGATGGTCGGTTAGGTGGATATTGTGATGACAATGTAACGTGTGCAACCACTTCTCTTGACTGTATCAACAATGTATGCGAAGAAAAGGAGCAAGGTTTATTTTTAACTATAACTGCAAAGTGTTTAATCTTTTTATCGTGTTTAATTTTCTACTTTCATTGCAAACTTGATATTGTGTATGTCTGATATGTCTTACGTCTGAAATATCGTTCTTTGATATGTTAAAGATATATTATACCTTGTCATTATTTTTTTGCAGACGAAGAAACTGACAATACGCCACTTATCGTGGGCGCCGTTATCGGGGCTTGTGTTGGTATAGCCCTGCTGGTTGGTGCTGGCTACATTCTATACAAAGGTTGTACTGGTGTTAAAGCGACCTCTGCCGTCACCCCTGCACTATATGTACGACCACCAGTGTATTCATCACAACCTCCGCTATATTCTTCATCCGGGGCAACTGCAAACCAACGTATACCATATGTCAGCCATTTTGAAAACAGTATGTCATCATTTCAATCACGGTAATGGTGTTACATTTCAGTTTTTTCATGTTTCAGTTAAAATTTCTAATTATTATTTTGTTTGATTTTAAATATTAAAATTATCCTTACTTTGTAACTCAAAATTTTTTTTTTCAACAAACAAGAACATTTAGAAAATGATGATTGTTTCAGACATAGGCACACATTTAATCGACTATTTTGCAGAATTTGTAAAATGTTGTTCTGTTTCTTACATGAAATTTTCATTATGTCAGAGATATAGATTTATATATCACCAGGGTAACTTTAATTAAGATTCAAAAAGCGTTGGTCGATTCAATTTTTTTATTATTAAATTTTACTTTTTCATTTCTTAAATATATATGACACACCTACAATCAATACTGTTGATATTTTAAGTATCAAATACTAATGCTTCTGTCGGAAATAAGCTTCTGAGCTTTCATGTTCATTTGTACAAGCCTAGAATTTTATGTAAATCTGTACATGTTACATGCCACAGTGTTGTTATGTTTCTAGCTATTTAGTTTCAGTGTAAATATATCATGTTTAAAATTCTGAGCTAGTTGATATTAAAATATGGCAGCTCAACTTTCTGTGATAGCTAAATGCTTACTGTATGTGATATCTTGATATTTTCTTTATATATTCATTAAGTTATTATTCTGTATACCTTGAATATGTTATCATTGTTTGTGTATCTTACTGTTTGTTTTGTAACTTGCAAATGTGCATATTTAAAATAAAACAACCAATCAAATGTAAGGGTAAGGTAATATTGTTATTACTTAAGTAAATTTGCATAATAAAAGAAACAAAACTGACGTGTTCTTTTGTTTTTATTTAAGTTCAGTCACCATATTAATACATGTATATATATTCATTTATATAAACATTCACATGTAAGCACCAATACCTTAACAAACACACTTAAATTTAGTGCATACAAACAAAACTATTCTTACACCACAAACAAACACTTTAACTACATGTATACTTAATAAATTGGCAAGTTTATAAATTCCAACCAACATGTTTAAATAATTCTTTGAAGCATGTATTATTTCAATAACATGATTTTAACTTGTAAAGTTTTTGGCTTCATTGATACAATAATATTAAAACATGTTTATTACAGTATAGTTATTATACAGCACTTTCAAGATTTCAAAAACACGTCCATATATTTCTAACACATAGCTAAGTCAATCAGAAAAATAAATGTTTGGAAAACAAATAAGCAAAAGAAAAAAACCCAACAGTATTACTTTTAAATTTTATCCTTGATTAGTTATTATTGTTTAGTAATATAAGATGTTTGTCAGTTAAATAAGAAGACATAAATATTTAGTATTTGTACAAATGATGGAAAATATTCATATATAATGTACACAGACATTGATAACCCTGTCATTTCAACTCTAACAAATAGTTTAATTCAATTAAATGCTCCCATAAAAGCTGGTGTATACAGTTTCAATATAATAAAATTGTACCTAAAAATAAAAGCTAAGCTCTTGACAAAAAACATAATAATTAAAAACCCATTAAGCCTAAAAATGCTATCAATTTTACTTTTCAAAAGTTTTCCATTTTTGACATCCTGTTACAATTCCCATAAAATACTCAATGTCCATATACCTTAACAAGCTTTCGCTTCTTTTGCCTTTGTCTTTTGTTGCAATAAGTACACTTACAGTGATTTAATATTTTGTATACAAGTTAAAATACAGCTTTAGCTACCAATGTCACAAATTATTTTACAAAAGACGCTATTTTCTATAGATGATAAGCAGCTCACATGTTCTTCATACATTATTTTAACATTTTCTACAGAAGGGAAAACAATACTCATTTCTAATGCTTAATGTGCCTTTAAACTTTTGTAAATGTAAACTACATACAAATAAATCAGCATGAAAATAATTGTAAATGTGTATATAAAATAATATTAAACAAATATGAGTAATATAGGAAATACTAGCAGTCACACATTACATGTAACTACATGATATATCGAGGGTGCCGTGAGAAAATGCTGTAACTCCTTCATATCATCATAGAAGTTACAAGCACTTTGCAGCAAGCCCTCCATATAGTTGACTAGTTCTTAATTATATGACACAACCTTTCAAATAATGTTACATAAAATGATAAACCAACCTTAACATATATCTACATGTACAATACAGAAATGTTAACCAACCTATATATCTTATATATTACACAAAATGTTAACAAACATTCACACTTTAACTTATAAGCAATCTTATTATAACTGAAATATCTTAAGCTAGAAAGGTTTTTAGAATATACCCATGCATAATTTTATAACTTTAAACTATGTTTCACCTGGCTTAAAATAAGACTTTGAATTTCTTGAAAATTGAATCAAATGCACTCCGGAGAAACTTAAGTTTGAAGCCTTAGCTGAATCTAACAAATATGTGATTTTAGAGACTGCAACCAGGATAATATTTCACTGACCACCATCTTAAATCTTTACATGTCATGTCATGTAGATCTCTTGCTCTCAATTAATATAACTTAAGAAAATATGAAATGTTATTCTTTAATGACACTGCCATGGAAATATATTCTAATAATTTTGAATAAACAAGAATGTTCTTAGTAAAGATAATGAACCAATGATGAAACTTTTTTTGTATGATGCAAGGATGGAAAAAGAAAACAAAACTAAGTCCTTCCAGCTTACTGTTTTAATGCTTAAATACAATCTTAAAATTTTATTTCCTTGTATGTTGAGTAGTCATTTATGATGACATAATACCTGGAAGTTTATTTAACATTAAATCTGCTGTATACCATATTTCTACATGTACACTGTGTATGTATAAGGAAAATGCGAGTTTGTTTATTTAAAGGTTTAAGCTTGTTACATGATGTAGAAATTTATTAACATTATATAACATTATGACAATTAAAGCTAAATATCAAAATATGACAGTTTTTCATTAGAACTGTTCACAAATACAGAAATATTCAGTTATTTTAAACTTAATCCACTTACATTCAGTATTGTATCAATAACAAGGTTATATATAAATTATGCTATAAACAATGCTACCAAAGCAATTCATGATATGTTTGTATGTTACAATGGGTCAGAAAATTCACAATGTCACCAAAGTATTTTCACTATGAGTGTAACATAAATGCAGGTTTCCAACTCCAGATATCATAAAATCATGTGAGAACAATACAAAGTATAATACAATTATAGACTTGAGGACAATTTTTAATAGATTTTTGTTTTGACCCCATAATAAATTCTTTTCAAGGGTGATACAACTTTTATCAGGTCCAAACAACTACGATTGGAGTTTACTGTTACAAAGTCATCATATTAAATATATCATGGGAGATCAGATTCTAACAACTAGTGCTACTGAATTTCATAAATTAATCAATTCAATTATATACAGCAGCTATGAAATAAGCACTTTGACTTCAACACCAATCTGAGGATCACTTTTATAATAGATATACAATATATGTAAATATATCTTAATATTGTCGGGCTTTTCTCACCCTCGCAATGTACATTTTCTTTTCATTTTAAAAACAATATACATGTCAATATTGATAAGAAAACAAGTACTTAAGATGAAAACTATGGTTTATCACCAAACAATCATAATAACCACAGTTTTTGTGCTACTCTAAACAGATAAACAAAATGTTATAGTTTTCTGCTGTTGTTAAAAGTAACTGATCTAGTATAATAATATGTTACATTAATCTAACATTTCCTGTGATTCTCCCAAGTTCTGACTAACTCTTGTAAATAAAGCAAAGATAAAAATCATAAAGAACTAGGTAGAATCAATATACATGTATATATACTGCAACAGTTTTATGATATCTGAGTTTAAATTTCTGTTGTTAATGATATGAATAAGCTGTTTATACACAAAATGATAAAGTACAATAACAACAATGTAAACATAATTCATATATCTTTGTTTCATATGTTCTTATATATTACATTATAAGCGTTATTATATATAATAAAAAGAAAACCTTCGAGACCAGCTCTCAAATTACAAAATGATCACATTCAAACATTCTTGCTAGACAATTTGTTAATTTTTTTTAATTTTAATGAAAAATGACTGTGATAGATCTGAAATACAGTAACTAAGTCTATGATCATTTTGATTTCTACTATCAGTTAATTCAAGTGTTCACCATTTTAAAGCTAAAACAATATAGTGCTGTTATTTTATGAGTTAAATATAGTATACCCAATAATCATTGCAAGTATTGATTATTCAAATTGTCCTATTAAAACCATCATATATACGCCAACTAACAAAGCCAAAATTTCTTTGATGGACTGTCCAAGTTTAGTGTCTTCTAGAAGTTCAGGAATGACAGAAACTGTGGCAATGTAGATGAAGCCTCCGGCAGTAAATGGTAATATCCATGTAGTCGCTGCCTCGCCAACACCCTCCGCAAACAGACTTGAGATTGTACCCAGCATAGCACCTATAGCTGTACTAAACTGTAACATCATAGCCTACACAAAGACAGAAACAATTTCTTTATGTAAATAAACACAAGCTACAGCAGGCAAGCATTCTATTTTTACATGACTAACAGATTTATCATTATTTCACATGGATAAAATATGTTACTTGTAGCCTGCCAGTCAATTTTTTCTCTTATAAAATTACTTCAATTTTTAATCAGTTGCATCCTAAGTATCACTACTTGATAATATAAATACCTGCATTTTAATACTTTTACATCACAAATGCCTTGTTACAAACACAAACCAGTGTTTAACTTTAGCAATTTTTATCAAAACAATCACTTGCAGTGAAATACAAAGCTACAAAAATGTTGTCTCTATCTATGAAAACTTCCACAGTAAGTATTGTCAGGCATATTCAATAATTATATTTAAAGAAACTGACATAGCAAACCAATGACTGAGAAAACTCTTGTTATTGATCACTCAACGATTTAACATTAAGTGTCACTAAGACCTTGACCTTATGACCTCAAAATCAGTAAAGCTTTTCAATGACATGGGCAATGACCCTAGACTCCCTACCAAGTTAAACAAAACTTGACTATTTTTTTTTTAAGTTATTCATACAAAGCATCATCAAGACCTTGACCTTTGACCTAGTGACCTATAAGTTATCTACTCGCCAAGGACAACGTCCTCTACAGGCCATGCACAATGTCCAATCCATGTCTTATTAGGCATATAGAAATATTCCTTACCTTTTTCTTAGTACAGCCAGACTGAACCAAGATAGCAAAGTCACCAATTTCATGGGGAATCTCATGGAGGAAAATTGTGATAGTTGTTATAATTCCTAAGCTCTGACCCATCATGAAAGATGCTCCAATAGCCAGACCATCTGTAAAGTTGTGAGCAAAATCTGCGGCAAGATTCAGGTACCCAGCTACTTTTATATCTTCAACTGGTGTTTCTTAAATAAGATAAAAAAAAAACATGAAAATATGGCAAAGTAATTATTAAGTCAAAATTCAAAAGAAGTGTATTTAAGGGAAAAAAAATCTAATCCATATTGTTGACTTGCTTAACATTTAAAGATATCAAAGAGAAAGGATGGCTAAATTTAGAACATTTGCCTGTTGGAATTAACATATACAATATCACATATGACATTAAAATCAAATAAAATTAACAGCCAGGTATATGATATATTAAGAGTATCATGTTGGTGTATATATTTAATGAAAAGATTTTAAGGATTCAGATTGAAATGCATGTATTTTAATATTTTAATAAATCTAAATAAATATTATATATTAGACAATGTTAGGCAAAGAAAGTTAACGTTGTTGAGGTACAGAAAGTGCATATTTATTTCAACAGCCAAATGTTGAGAAAACAAATTTAATTAATAAAATATTGCTTTTTGTATACAGTATAGCAATATTACTCTCTAAAATTGATATGTGGGTATAGTATTGAAACCCATGGCCATCACCTTTATTGAGTCTTTTATGAAATTACTTTTTGTTACAAGAATGATTTATTCTTAGTAAACAGTTATCTTTGTCACCATTTATTTAAAGATGTATGTATGTACTATACTGCATCTAACTCGTTCTAGTGTTTTAAACAACACCGATTCCAGTATTTTGCAAGTATTTCAATAATTATTATAAATTGCATTTCTAAAACAATTTTACATACATGTACAGACTTTATTATAGTGAAATAAAACAGTCAACATATTAAGAACTGAATCCGGGTCAGCTCGGCCCTAAAACATACTCTGCCCCCAAGTCAGCTCGGCCCTATTCCAACTCGGCACGGGTCAACTCGGCCCACTTTTAAAAATGGGTAAAGCCAAAGGACATCAAAAGACTCCTATTGTCACGGGCTATTATTATCAATCAATGTGTATGTTAAAACTACCGATTAATTAGGTGATAATTATGATTGACTCATTCATTCAAATTTGATTAGTGACCACCTGCAATTAATTAGAAGCTTATGCTATTAAGTAAACGCGTTTTTGTTTCATATTTTTTTTAAAATTACTTTACAAACAAAATGCATCTAAGGAAACACGTTTTTATTATATCTATATTCACAGGCACAAGAATCGGACCGGGGAAGAAAAAATAGGAAGTTATTTTTCAATCAATCTGTTCATATTTTTCTTCCCATGTTTGATAATCGTGCCTGTGTCTATATTAATTTTATCGAATCTGCAAGACATATAAATAACTTTTTTTTCTGAATATACTTTATTTCAGCAGAGGTACAATGTATAATTATATAATAATAATAAGATATTTCTTATTATTCATTTACCTTAACAACATGCAAAGCAAAATAAATACGTTATAGGCCTATATATTTTTGTAAAGTGGGCCGAGTTGACCCATGCCGAGTTGACCCGTGCCGAGTTGGTATAGGGCCGAGTTGACTCTTTTCCTTAAGAACTTACCTTTAGTCTGAACTACCTCGTCTGTCTTTTTATTTGTAGTTTCTTTGGTCGTTTCCTTATCATCTTTTGTGTTTTCCTTGTTATCTTTTGCCTCCTTTTCTTTCTTTGGTGGTGCATGTGAGTGGGCATGATCTCCTTTTACAATCCTTACAAATTTTTCTACCATTAGGAATGCAATAATACCAGCCAAAACCCAAAGCCCTACAGACATATCATGAGAGTGTCCACCTTCGTCATGGGAATGTGTGTGTCCATGATCATCTCCACCATGTGAATGTGGAGACACTGCATGCGGAATAAGATGGAGAAAGGCATCTCCCAACAGCCCTCCTGATGCAAAACTTAGTAGAACTTTCAATAATGGCTGATGTTTGTCTGTATTATCTAAAGGAATAAACAACAAAATGAAAATTGGTGAAAATGCTTATGACTGCTGTTGCTGTGATAGCCTCAATCCAACAACTTTATTCCAGTATTTTTCACAGCTTTTCCTTTAGGTTGCTCTCCATGGGAATGCCCATGTCCTGGGGCTTCCCGTTTACCACCATGTGAATGTGCATGTTGTTCTCCTCCATGGGAATGAGCGTGACCATGATCCCCGTGAGTGTGACCATGATCTCCGTGTGTATGCCCATGTCCCCCATGAGAGTGAGCATGTCCATGATCTGCAGGAAGTTCGTTTGCTTGCTGTGAATATTTGAAAGATGCAGGTTCATCGTGAGAATGTCCATGATCGTGATCATGTCCGTGACATTCAGCAATTGAAATGAAATTTAATGAAATAAATAGAGTTGTTAATGTAAAAATTGTCAGTGTAAAATGTTTAGAGGAAAACATTTTCGTAGACGTGTACATCTTTCTCGCGAAGCGCTTTTCTAGAGCGTCTGAATACGCAGATGAAGCCGACGGTGTCACGCTATCTATTTGTCGTGACTTTCACTCTACGACTAAATATTGCGAAATTATTTTAATTTTGCGAACGGAAAATTTATTTTACTGAAATATGATATTTATATCTGTGATGGTTGAAAACCCCAGGCTTGAAGAATTTAAGTTGCTTTTATTTTGATTGAATAGAATAGAATAGAATTAATAGAATGGTGTAAATTTTTTTATATGTTTGGCCAAAAGTTAGAAAATTAATAATGTGGACCCATAATTAGGTTTTCTTTAAACATCCGATGAGTATCATTATAATTGTTCTAGTATGTAGTGATTGACTAGTATTCAGCACGTGATGTTTAGACTATCATAAGATCTAGACGTGATCAGTGAGTATTGTATTGCTATCTATTGTACTATGTATATGTATGCATATGCTAAACATTGTGAGTGGTATTCAATGAATTTATATGTTCAGATCAATGTAAAAGACACTAATGAGTACCACTAGAGATTATATTATTATTATTATTATTATTATTATTTATTATTATTATTATTATTATTTTATTATTATTATTATTATTATTATTATTTGAAACCGTTTGATTATTTTCATTATTGTTGCCACAAACGCACTCTTTGTATTTTTATCCAATTTTCAGTTTTGAAGAATTATTATCCTTTAACATGTTTTTATCTTTGATAAATGCATGCTCGTTAAATAGATTCAATTTTAATGACACATCTTTTCCAACCAATAAACTCAAATCAAAAAACATCTTCAGAAACAAATAGTAAAAATATAAAAGGTGTATTTATTTTCAGCGTTTATGTTAACAGTATAATTAGTCCGTAATTTATGAGTGAGTTTTGTATGTATTGAAATTCATTTTTAATAAACAGTATTCAGTAACGTATACATATATATTAATAATTTTATGAGATGTGCTCCTTGGATGTGTCATCAAAGAAAAAAATGATTTTTAATATGTTATGAGAAACAATCAGAAAAGAACTTACCGTAAATGTTATGGGTGTTATAAGAAATGCTTTCTAAGATGTTATGAATAACTATATTCATTGAATGAGTTATGTTCCAAGTCATTGAGCTAGTTTGCTCAGTGAGCTTTAAATCCAGCCAGGTATGATAAAATAGCTCGTACTCAGTAAATATGTTGATTTTAAGTGTAAAACAAAAATATTACAAGTGAAATATATAGAGATTATAATCTATGCTCGGTATGGTACAAATTAATTGAGGGATTTTAAAAATAAAAAGTTAAATCACGGCTTTAATTACAGTCGTGGTGATATCATGGCTAACATGCTTTCACACGTCAGCCGAAAATGAAAACAGAAACCAACAGCTAGTGTTGATGATATATCTGGGCATATGTCAAAGTTAGATTAATGTTTATATGTTCAGAATTAATAAATGGCTGTAATAATTACTGTATATATAAATATATACTGTATATATTGGCGCAGAAGTCGAAAGTCCTCAGATGATATATTATAGTTTATATAGATATACAGTTTATATTTTTATCTAGAATTATTTTTTACAATATCCCACAATTGCGCCGAGACCCTATGGTAAAAATCATTTCAAATTTAATTATGTCACAAAGGAATATGTTTCGTAGGACGGGACGGACAAAACACTCATATTTAATCAGTTAATTTCTGACCAATATTTGACTAATATTTGACATTTTTAGTACTTTTATGCCTATTATTGAGTGACGTCATCAATATTGGTTGTAAACGTATACCATACGGAAGAAAATGGCGGCCTCCATGAAGTGTTTACCTTACAAAAGTCTTAACTAGATTTTTGCTGTTTATAATTGACTGTAGCCATGTCTGCGATCGAAACCTGGGTGAATGATAAATTGCACGATATTCTTGGAATATCAGACAAGTATATTGCTCAATATTTGATCGGACTTGCGCAGAAAGTCAAAGTCCTCAGAAGAATATATTCAGAAACTAAAAGATACGGGAACTATCGATGTCGATGAAAATGTAGCTGGTTTTTTTCAAGTGAATTGTGGCATAAGGTTTGTTCCATTTTCGATTTTTGTTTAGTCCATAAGTTGAGAAAAATGTGCATCATGAAACCCGAGATCCCCAGATTGCGGGAATACCGTTTCGAGCTGCTACCGACTGATCACACAATTTCGAGTCAACTCGTCTCGTGGTCAACTCGGTCGTAGGACAGGGCGGACCGTATGTTTGGACAGGGTGGACCATATTTTAGGACAGGGTGGACCGTGACTCGAGAGGAGGGACCCTGCATATTTTCAAATTAAATATTGCTATTCTATTTTATTTATGTTTTTCAATATCATTATCATCTTCCCAGCAAACAAAAGACGTTGTACCAACGTTGTACTGACGTTAGACCTTGACGTTGGGTAAATGTTGGCAGAAGGTTGGATTTGAAAGTTTTTTAGACGTCAGAATCCGACGTCTATACAACGTCATAAAATGACCTTTATCCAACCTTATCTGACCATAAATCCAACATTTTCTGACCATTATCTGACCATAATCCAACCTTTTCTGACCATTATCTGACCATAATCCAACCTTTTCTGACCATTATCCAACCTTTTCTGACCATAATCCAACCTTATCTGACCATGATTTAACCTCATTTCAAACTTTTGGGAAATAATTTTTTTTTTCATTTTAAGCTCATTAGTAGGGTAAACAAATAAGCATTCTTTTATAATTTTAACAATTTATTTGCAATACGAATCAC